CCCTGCGCTCGCCGCGCCTCGGCTCAGTCCCGGCTTGGACCTGCTGTCTCGCGGGCCCCGCGCTCAGCCTCTCCGGCGGCCCGGGAAGTGGGAGCTGCACGGAAAGTCGGCGCCGGAGCGGCGGACTGGGCATGCTCAGAAGCCAGGGCTGGCTCTGGGCTCGAGTAGGAAGCGTCTGCACTCGGGAGGCAGCGGCGACTTTGGGGAAAGTTGCCCGGAGAGGGGAGCAAGCCCCAAGGCGCGCGGCAGCGGCGGGCAGGCGCCCCGGCGGCCCGGAGGAGCATGGGCACCCTGCGGGATTTACAGTACGCGCTCCAGGAGAAGATCGAGGAGCTGAGGCAACGGGATGCCCTCATCGACGAGCTGGAGCTGGAGTTGGATCAGAAGGACGAACTGATCCAGAAGCTGCAGAACGAGCTGGACAAGTACCGCTCGGTGATCCGGCCGGCCACCCAGCAGGCGCAGAAGCAGAGCGCCGGCACCTTGCAGGGCGAGCCGCGCACCAAGCGGCAGGCGATCTCCGCCGAGCCCACCGCCTTCGACCTCCAGGATCTCAGCCATGTGACCCTGCCCTTCTACCCCAAGAGCCCACAGTAAGCAGGGGTGCGGCGCCGGGTCCGCGCGGCGCCCTGTCGGTGGGGAGCTGCGGGTCTCTGTCTTGTGTGTCGGCCCCCGCCCCTCGCGCTTGCCATGTCTGTCCTCATCCTCAGAGATGTTGCATTCTAATGGGCACTTCTCGCGCGCTGTGCACGTTTCTCAGAGCCACACTCGCTGCACCTACGTTTGCCTTCCGTGTCTTTGTCAGATGTCAAGCTATTTTTTAAAAATAGACATACACATTCGTATATGCCACCCACCGCACATAGTTTGAACGCGCCCCAGGTGTGTGTCCGGCCGTGTGTGTGTGTGTGTGTGTGTGTGTGCGCGTGTGAGTGAGTGAGTATGAGAGGAGGAATAAAAAGCCCCATCTCCCAAATGCCCTGGCAAACCTGCCCAGCCGGAAAATCCTAAATGCAGGCTCATCAGACTTGAAATGAAATGCGTCTGATACCACCCTTACTTTCTCTGCTTTGGTGGCTCTCCCGGATTTCTCGCCGGTACCCCTCAAACCTGAATGTGCTGTCATCATCAAAGTGTCAAAAATAAGCAAATACGCATAGAAAAGGGAAGATTTTTTTTGATTTCCTGAATTGGATGGCATTTACAGCCCGCAAATGGAAGCCCAGTCTGTTGATTTTTTTAAAAAAAATATTTTTTCATACCATCCGAGGGAGAATGTTGCTTGTTTTCCTTAAGGAATTTGCATAATGTTACCAGTGAGGTGCCTCCGACTATCAAGAGGGTTGCATGTTTCCAGGATCAAGTGTGAGAAGTACACTTACCTGTACTGACAATGTGAACACATTGTTTGCCTTACTCCTGGCTTCTGATGCAACCACTCTGGTATCCTTCTTGCATTTAGAGAACTATGTTCTGATGTCAGTGGGCTTCATAACTTGGGAAGGAAAATTGAATCCAACTTGTTGTACACCTCTCAACGCAGAGACCTTATGGAGAGTAGAGTGGCAGGAACAGGAGATCAATATAGAGTGAGGGAAAGCACCCAAAGGAATGGTATTTTTAATTAATAGGTAATGACATAATTGATAAAATGAAAGATTTTGCTATTCTATTCCCAACTATATCACACTGGCTGGATGACACGTGTTACATAATAATGCAAGCCCCCTTGGAACCCTGTACTTCACAGACACAAGAAATTAATATAAGGAGAAAGGGCAAATACATGATTGTCTCCATTTGTATTTGTCGGATTTTGGGGAGCTGTCGAGCACATACTGATTATACTTTTGAAAACTTAAGAGTTATACCTACATCTGTTGGTTCCCATAGAGCTTCTGCTGTTCCTCATGCAGGCTTAGCTTAAGACGGAGTTTGTATTCTCCCAGAGTGTAGGGAAGAAACTGTGAGGATAAACATTTCAGAGATTCTGACCTCAGCAAGTTGCCCCAATCAGTAGACTTAGATTTGCCTTAGGAACCTGAATGATTCGCATCTACTTCAACTTTCTCTGGTAAATTAATTTGCAGTCCCAACGTGCTTGCCTGTTTTAGCTAACGAGGTACATGGCCATCTCTCCTGGGCCAAGTTTTGCATAATGAAAAAATAACTCAAAGACAGCTCTCTGCATTTTTAAGCACTGCATAGGATCTCATTTTAGTATCTGCAGGACTCTGGAGTAACGCAGAGAAAACTCTGCTTTTATAAAAAGACCATTTTAATAGGTTTTATAATGAAGCATGATCAAGCCAGCTGATAACTCCAGTTAAACATTGGATCAGAGAAGATCTGAAGGAATCTAGGCAGTAGGGAATGAGCTGTAGGAATGGGGTAAGTTGTAGAAATCTCTTAGTGCTCAACATGTAGAACAACTAGATTTTTTTTTTCATGGTGGAAAATGAAATTAGCGTGGCAAATAATTCACACCATTCTGTTATAATAAACATTTTATCTATGGAACAATGCTGTGCGTTCTGATATTTATTTAATAATGTGCTTTAAAGAAATCAGCTGTTTAAGGTATCACCATGATGGTTTTGGTGATTCTGAAAGATTATATTGAAGAAAAGGATAGAATGTCTTCCAAGCTTAAATAATTTTGGAAAAACATCTGTTCTTTTTTCACACTTACATAAAGAAAACTAGAATAAAATTGGCTTAAGTGGTAGAGTGTACCTTTCTTGAAAGAGAAGTTACATTGTATGCAAAATGATTATACGTTATGTCATTTGAATGATTGTGCAAGATAGCTCCACAAAGAATTAGGAAAACTTGCCAAACCAAAGAAGACTTGCTCGAATTTCAATTTATTTCACTTTGAGTAATCTGATTATACAGGCTAACTGGCAACAAGTGTTTATGTCTTTATATTTCGCTTTTAGTGCAACTTATATATAGTCCTCTTTCTTAAACTCACACACAGATCATTGTGAGTTCAAGTTAAAAGGAAACCACCTGAATAGCCTCAAATGGATTTCAAATTCATTTTCCTGTGAATTTTCTGTTCCCTTTTCACTAGATGTAGGTAACTGCCCAGCTAAGGTTCTGTTCAGTTATCTGATATATGCAAATATGGTTACGTTTTGCTTACTGAGATTGCCCTCTGAGGATTATAATTTTGAAAAACTTATTTTAATGATTTTTGATCATTTAAAAATATTGTAAAATGTAAATTATTAACTTAAATCATTTTTTAACATTTTTGATTTGGAATTTTCCCTGTAAGCTGGGAATGGGAGGCAATGCTTTGTCAGAGCCAGGGAGCTCCTGCTTAACGTGCGTTGTGTGTGTGTGTATGTGTGTGTGTGTATGTGTGTGTGTGTTTTGGAGGACTGGGGGGTGTTTTTGTTTCTTTCACATCTATATAGAAATAGTCCTTAAGTCCTTCCTCTGTTAGGAATGTGAAGCAAAGAACTGATGTAGAAGTTGGTACTATATTCCATTACTACCACATAACTACTTGAGAATGTAAAACTATTAGGCCATATGTTTTGAAATAAATTGAACAAATCACCCCTTAAAAATGAAAAAAGAAATATAAAAATATCCATTTTATGAGATCGGATAGTCTGTTGGTTATGTATACAGGATGGTTCTTATGGACTTTTAAAGTAATTTTATTTCATGATACTTCGTTCCTGAAAACTCTGTAACAGGTCAGAACATTTAGTCTCTGGTATTTTGATCTAAACCCTTTACCTGTTGTAAATATTCTCAAATCCTTTCCATTTTGCTGTCCCAGGGTTACATGTCATTTCACTTGGGCTGTATAGACTTAAGTTCCTATAAAAAGTTGTCAGTGTCTCTGAATTTTTGTTCAGCTGGTGCTTTTCACCCCAGAGGTAGCTGAATTTCAGAGAATGATATGTTTTGTAACATTTCACTCTTTGGTTGTGAAATATTTTGGCAGAGCTGAGGGCAAAAAGAAATGGATTTTCTTATTTTTAGGAAGGCATTAATTTTAACAAGCTCTTACATGATCTTTTAAACCTGGACACAAGTACATCTCTAGAGAAACAGTATCTTCCTAAAGACTGTATGTTAAATTTTATAGGAAAGTTGAGAGAATTCTAGAATTTTGGTATAATCATAGATGGTTAGAATATTAAAACATAGATTTATTCAGAAGGAGCAATTACATTCCAGATGGGCCCTGCAGTTCAGTTGAATACTTTTATGGGATGTCTGCCATGCGCAGCTATCCTGAGGGGTTACAGGTGTGAGAGACAAGGCCCTGCATCGAGGAGTTCATGCTACACAAATAAGTATTCTAGAAAGTAGAGAGTTAAGTTCAATCGCAGAGGAGATGCCTAAGAAAGTTGGGAGAATAGAATCGCGCCCCTTTAATTTCATGGTATCGGGATGTCAGGTGGACATCCAGGCATTTGAGGGGCTGCCTGACCTAGGCAGGTGCTCAGGGGATGGGAGGGGCGCGGTGGGGATGTACAGGACCATCTGGTGGACAGGACACACAGGACCATGACAGCAACTAGTGGTGGCACCAGAACGCCGTAGTGGGAGTTGAGGAAAAGCAAGCTTAGGTCGCAGAGAATGCAAACCTCTAAGTAGGCAGGAGGGCATTTCGGCTCGTGTTTGGAACACTCCGGGCTCGTGTGTGCACATGCGCGCGCTGTGCAGCCGCCAGCACTGAGCACCCAGTGTTCCCCATCAGCAAAGCTCCGAATCTCAGAAAATCCCTTCAGCCCTGCACCTCCTACCAGCACAACCCTGATCAGAGCTGTAACCCGCCCCACTGGGTGAGAGCGTTTCAAGGAACCAAGCAGCAGACGGTTAAAACTCGCCAAGGCACGGAGTCCCGCTCGGAAAGAAAACAACTTTCTTTCCCCCCTCGCTTCCGACTAGTCTCATCGAGAATCATCTTTCATGCCCCAGACCAGCTCGGCAGATTGCTTACGTAGCGAGGCCAGCGGGCCGGAGATGAGAATGGAGCCTGAAGTCGGTTTCGGAACTTCAGGTCCCTTGTTTTGGTGGAGGAGTTAAATTCCAACTTAACGCTGTCCTAATAGACTTTCCCATTGACTTTGCATCGATCCTTTGACACGACGGCCTGCGCATTAAAACTGAGGTCGTGGAAGCTTTCAGAAAGATGTCTGAGACCAGGTTGCTTAAAACCCGGTTCGGGGGTTTGGAAACACGGTGAAGTTGTGTGCCCCTGCATCGGGGTTTATAATGAAAACCCTGACAAGCCCTTAAACAGAGTGGCTCCGGAGGATGCCCGAGAATATCCATGGCCAGCTTCCTTGCTCTCCTGGGCCACATTTCCAGTCGCCTGCTGCGTAGTATTTCACTAAAGAGTTGGGCACACCATGTTTCTGTTGTTGCTGTTTGCAGGTTATAAGGCGTATGGACGCATTTGTTTCCCCCCCGTCTGCTTAGCCGCGGAGGGGCTCCATGGTATCCTAGCAACCGGATTTGAACACCACAGTCTGCTGTTTTTTCTGCCAGGTCTGCCAGAGGTGCCGTTGCCCATCCAGGGCCCCGGGGCCTCTGCTGGCCCTCAGACCCTCCGCCT